TAAGATATTATTTGATTAGAATTTTCCTCTTTCCTCCATAAATGTCAAGCGTTTTGTCAGTCACAGCTTGTTGCATTGTATCTTTTTTTGGAGCAAAAAAGCTTCTATGCTTTTCTATTGTAGTAATTACTAATAATAGTTAATAATTATTGAATAACACGAAGTAAAGAAAATTAATGCAATAAAGGAATAGCACAACAATTTAAAAAAAACCATTATTTAATGAAATAATGAGGATCAATGTAATAACAATAGAAAATATAATATCGAACGTTTCGACTAATATTTGAGCTATCTTCAGCGAAACAAATTTTTTTAAAACATGTCAAAACTTATTATGCTGTGATTCGAAGACAAGATCTTTCTCTGACATCTCAATTAAAAAATGTTATATTTTCCCAACCATAGCCAGGCGGACCATACAGGGAGTGTCCAAAAAAAGACTGTAATATAATGTCATGAATTATCTTTTCATCCTAGATTATAGGATTGTAACGGCAGGGCCGTTACGAGCATACATACATATACATATACATAATATATACAAACACTGGGATCACTATCCTGCACTACCCATCCCGCTTGCACGTACACCACTCGCGCTATCGCATTCGCTTGCCTGTAGGGCGCACGCGCCGTCTCGCTCACGCTATCTCGCTCGCGGTGCCCCCACGCGATATCGACTCCCCGCCACCGGACCGACGACGCGCAGTGGGGAACGCCGGCCGAGTATATAAGCTGGCCGGCCGAGACATCGAGACCAGATCCTATCCTGCGATCCGACTCCTGCTACCGACTTAACCAGTACCTATTACCTCTCGGGGCCAAGGTTTCACTTGGCTCTGCCGGGTTTCACCGGCTTTCTCTACCTACGGAAGTTTCACTCAGCTCTGTCGGGTTTCACTGACTCCTGTCACCGCTCCACGGGCTGAGGTTTTACTCAGCTCTGTCGGGTTTCACCGACTCCTGCCACCGCTCCACGGGCTGAGGTTTCACTCAGCTCTGTCGGTTCACCGACTCCTGTCACCGCTCCACGGGCTGAGGTTTCACTCAGCTCTGTCGGGTTTCGCCGACTCCTGTCACCGCTCCACGGGCTGAGGTTTTACTCAGCTCCGTCGGGTTTCGCCGACTTCTGTCACCGCTCCTCGGGCTGAGGTTTCGCTCAGCTCTACCGGGTTTCGCCGGTTTCCGTTGCGAAGGCAGGGCTCGACGTGGCACTCGACCCTGCCCGCGATACCTAACCGTCCCGCCTGATATTAGCTCGTAAGTGCATGCGATAGAAATTAAGGCCGCTAGTTATAAGTTGGTAATCCTAAGATCCCTAGTGGTAACCGCGTGTAAATAGACCGTTGTTGACTGCACGCCGCACCCGTCTTGCGCATCTTATCGCCGTACCGGTTGCGTCTCCGCTTTGCTACACAGCGACACTGCGACATCATCCGGCTCTGCATTACTCTATATCTACCTTCCACCAATAAGCAATCTTTTCGCCGCCACTTGTGTTCGCGTACGCTTGAGTCTCCCCTCCTCTCGAACCCGGACACCGACGAGCCGATCCGAGCGTCGAGCGAGGTGACCCAGTCACAGGATCAATAGATAAAGTAAAAAAAGACTTATCTCCAAATCACAATATAAATTGCCAAAACAAGAAAATAGATAAATCACGTCATCAGAAAGTACAAATTAATGTAAATAATAATCATGTAATGTAAAAGTGATTGATTAAAAGGCAGAATATGATTAAGAATTATACACACAGGACAAATAAATTAAATGATATAAACAGTAGATCGAAGTTAAAATGTAAAATCAAATAAAGAATAAAAATAAAAACAAAAGTAGACGATGTTGTCAAAGAAAAGTGAATATTTATGACGTTCAAGTTACCTAAAAAAGCAGAATACATGATTCAAAACCTCAGTATAACCCTAGTATCAGTTTGCACATTTTTTGTTTGATAAATAATTTCAGAGACGTTTATTAAGACATTTAATATGATTTTGATTGAGATAATATAGAAGTTCGAATGAAGAGAAATCATAAGATTACTTTTTGTCTCAATCAAAATCATGTTTAAAATACAATCTATGATCAGAATGATTGAACGTATTTTTATGGATATCATTATAATGTTCCATTATTCTTAACTGTTTATATTCGTAACTGTTTCTTCGTTTGTTCTATGTAAGATAGTATCGCAAACATTTTATTTTGTAAACTACATTTTTTTTTAGTTGAATTGGAAAGAGAATTTTGTGTATTTTGATGAGTCCTCGGAATCAATATTATAAAACGCAATGTACAATAAAAATTTATAATTTCTTACATTTATCTGAGATACCTGAAATATAGGGAATAGCAACCCAAACTAATTTTTTTTATCTGGATCAGATTGTGTATTATCATTTGTTATTATATCATTTTTATTATTTTTTATCTGCTTGTGTATTAAACTTTTTATTTTACTGTTGATTATATCGAGAATTTCAAAGGATAGTTATTCTTTAGTAACATTTTTACAACTAATTCTAGATTCTTTTGGTGGAAAGTTATGGATAAGATAATAAAAAAAGCATATATATGAAATCTATGTATATTACTATGTCTCTTTTTTCTTCCTTTTTTTTATTTTTATTTTATTTTATTTTATTTTTTTTTAAAAAGAGTACTGACACAAAAAATTTAAATATTTAATCGAGAAAATAAGTTTCTGATACCAAATCAAAGATAATGAAATTATCATTAATAGTTAGTGACATCTAAAAAATTGATCTTACCGTCTCCTACTTTTAGTGTAAATTTTAGAGAATGGAAAATATTGAACGACTCTAAAATATTTATTGATCATAATAAGATACATTGCCATAAGAATGTCATCCATCTATTTGTAATAAATTGATATTAGAAATGAAAACATTGCAAGCATGAAAATATTTATTCTTTAATTCCTGCATTACTAGATTTGCAATGATTGACGACAAAGAAGAGCCCATCGGAGTCCCAAAGTTTTGTTTACATCATCAAATGTAAAATTTTTTAATTGGGATATCAGAGAAATATTTTGCCTTTAAGTCACAGTATGATAGATTTTGATATGTTGCTTTTATAACTAAAAAAATTTGTTCCACTAAAGATAGCTCAAATATGAGCCGAAATGTTCGGTATTGTAATTTCTATTGTTCCTACATTGATCCTCATTATTTCATTAAGTAATTGGTTTTTTTTATTAT